GGTGGATACTTATCCCACTTATATATATCCGTTTTCCTTTGCAGCGCTTTGAGTCAAGCTGAACAGATTGAACAGATATATAAGAACAGATTCATGGAAATGGCATAGCCAAAGAAATACAAAAACTATCATGAGGTCGTGACATTTTAGAACATTCGGGCCGTTGTGCTCCTGACAAGTTTGCAGCCAGCTATTTAGAGGGCTAGAGCATAGGGCTGCAGTTGTAGCAGAACACATGCCAGAGTGAGTGGCAAAAAGGATCCAAAGGCCCACCCAGCAACAGATGGTTTTTGCACGCATTCCAGCCGGCAGACTGTTTCACAATGTTTCCCATTTAGGGGCAACCAGCTTTGCCGCAACTACTGGAGAACATGCTGGGTCCATGCAATGCGACATCAGTGTCACAAGACGCGCTTTCATTGATTTCGACATTCCTCAGCAATGAGCCGGAATGCCAATGGGCTGCCAGCGACTGGATTGGCATGATGGAATCAGATGCTTGGATGAGCTTGGATGGGTGTGATGGAACTCTCATGCTTTGCCGCTGCCTGTCACGACTTTAAGACATGTTTTCGGTCGTTGTAGTCGGTGTGGCCAAGCTTACAACGGTGGGCCCAAGGTGTTGAGGCCCTCCACCAAGAAGCTGATAGCATCCAGCAGTGGTTGGCCTCCAGCGCAGGCCACAATAGAAAATAGATGAGAAACAGGAATTGCTCAGTTGGAGAATCAGCGATGTGCATAACATGTGGCCTTTTTCCCAACAAACCTTGACAACCTGTCAGCAACCCAGACCCCGGAAAGTCAAGAAGGCACAAAACATGTGAATGAGTGGACTGAGTAGGCACGTGCACACACAATACTCCAAAGGAGTAGACAACTAGACAACCATAGACAGTTAGTTGCATAACATGAAGTACTTATCAATAATATTCAAGAATCACATTTCTTTGTGACAATTCTGACAGGCCCCGCGGGTGCAGACAGCGTGCACCTCAGAGATTTGTCCAGAATTTGTGAGCAGCTCCTAAACTGCTAAGAGTCATGTCAACACTTCGCATTAAATAAAGGCGTCCACATAGGATGTAGCAAAGCGCCTTGCTAGTAGTAGCAAGAAGCTAGTAGTAAGGCACCTTGCTACTGGTATATTGGCTGCCACTGGACATTGGAGAGAACCCAAGTGTCACGTCTCCAGCTTCCTAGGTGACAAACGTCGAAGATCTGCTCAAGACGTGGCAGGCAATGGTGTTTCTCTGTTTGGGGCAGAACACCCACCTTCAAACAAGGTGAGGCCGCTAGGAGGGTGTCAATCCAGATCAATCAAACGAACCCTTATCCTTCAGCGCCTCGCTTTGGCTCTCTGACATGCAGGAACTCTTGCCAACTTGGAGGGTCAGATTGCCCGCTTGCGGCAGCAGCTTTCCGTGCCCGAGGAGTCCTCCAAAGTGGGTTGGTGAGCTTGTTTACTTCATGTGTCTTACTACTAGTCGCAAGTGCTCCGCTACTAGTAACAAGGGCATTACTACTAGTAGCATCCTAGTAGTAATGCATTAATGGAGTTGTTCAGGAGAGCCTGGGAAGTTCAGCGACCGAGGTGCAGGGATTGGCATTGACATTGATAATATAAGTGATTTTACTTTACCTTGCATATATACATATAAATATATACAAAATTATTTAAGGGCTTACGCCCGACAGCCGGCCAGGGGCCCAAGGAAAAGGATGGTGGCAGTGGCGGTAGTGTTTGTGTCGTGTTTGTGGTGGCAGTGGTTGTGGTGGTTGTTGGTGGGGGTGTGGTTCTGCTTGTGGTGACTGTGGCGGTCGTGGAGGTCGTGGTAGGTGAAGTGGCAGTGGCAGTGGTTGGTGGGGTTGTGGGTGTTGTAGTGGGGGTAGTGGGTGGTGGCGACGTTGTGGTGGGTGGGGGTGGTGTGGTCATGGTGGTGGTGGTCGTGGAGGTAGTGGTGCTGGAGGTGGTTTTGCGATGGTGGTGGTGGTGGTTGCGGGTGTGGTCGGACCAAGTGGCGAGTCCACGGGCGTTCTGCGTCGTCGGTTCAACGCTCTGGAGACAAGAGGCCCTATGCTAGACACCATCCATCGTAGACGCTGGCTCTGTCGTGCAACACCTGGACTTGGGGGTCTCGATACCAGTTTGGCAGCACGCGTGTTGAGCGGCACATCCGGCGCCCAGTCGTTTCGAAACTGGTGTAGGTTCGGCATGTCGCAGCAGCAGCCGTTTCGAGATCGTTTTGGATGCGTTGAGCTGGAGTAGAGATCTCTACTGTGTGCGCAGAAATATTGTCAACACCCATGGAGCTGCATATGCCTGAGGTCGAAAAAAAAGTCCAAACATAGGTGAGCTTGCTCGAAGCAGAAGGGTCATGAGGGCGGAGGTCATAGTTTAGACACGGTCGTAGTTTGTAGGGTGAGCTGGCTCGCCTGGAAGGAGCCAACATCCATGGACCAGCACCGGACGCTGTTGGAAGTAAGTTGCTTTTCAAAGAAAGGGCAGTGGGCTCGCCGCAGCACGGTCACGAGGGAGGAGGCGATTGTTGAGGTGCCGCAACGGGCTGAGCTCACAGGCAATGTAAAGGTGAGCTTGCTCGCCACAGGGGCTTGGGTGCGGAAAAGCTGTGAGGGCGTGTGGTCGGGCGTGTCATGATTGAGGTTCAAGGCCGCGGTCTCCAAAGAGAGGTGGTCAGGTAAGTTTCTCCAAGGACTTTCTCCCAAGCTCGTAGCCACTGAAGACGGGGCAACATCATTCGCACCACGAACGAAAGTGTCCAGGTACGGATATATCTAATCAGAGTGGTCAGTGTCAATCGTTAGCGTTTACCCGAAGTTGGAAAGTTGCATGAACTTCACGTTCTTTCAAAGCTCAAGTGAATTGTGTAATGTCGACCTTTCACCTGGACGTGATAGGGAAGGACCACCCGGAGCTTCGCGCATGGGTACGTTGGGGCTTAGCCCAAGCGGGTCCGACTCAAGACGGACGGAGGTAAGTAGGCGGTAGACACATCGGGTCGGAGTTTGTCAGTGCACGAAGATAGACAGTACGGTATATCAATCGGATAGTGACACAGTGTTTGCACGACCCGACTTGTGACTTGGCCGTGACGGGGGCGGACCACCAGGAGCTTCGCTCATGGGTACGTTGGGGCTTAGTCCAAGCGGGTCCAACGCCAAACGGCCGGAGGCAAGTAGGCGGTAGACGAATGTGGTCGGAGGTGCGAGCAAGCGTCACGCACGCCTAGAACACAAAACACAAAGGAGGAAGCAGAGGCGCGTCGTCTGCAAAGTTACCACACGTCCAACGCTTGGATTTTGTCAGAGAGCCTTGTCCGACCTGTTGCAGGCTCTGCGTCGGCGGTTGAACTCTCTGGAGACAAGAGGCCCCAGGCCAGACACCTTGCCTCGTAGACGTTCGCTCTTTCGTGCAAGACCTCGTCTCCAGTCTCTCGATACCATCCCTGCAACACGCGTGTTTTGTGACACATCCGGTCCCCTGTGCACCGCAATCGTTTCGAAACCACTCTAGGTTCCGCACATGTCGCAGCAGCTCGAAAAAGAAAAAAGTGCAAACATAGGTGAGCTTGCTCGCCTCCGACGGGTCATGAGTGAGAGGGCATTGTCGGTCATGAGAGAGCTTGCTCGCCATAGGGGCGTGGGCGCCGAAAAGTTTTGAGGGCGTGTGGTCGTGCGTGTCGTGACCGAGGTTCAAGGCCGCGGTCTCCAAAGAGAGGTGGTCAGGTAAGTTTCTCCAAGGACTTTCTCCCAAGCGCGTAGCCACTGAAGACGGGGCAAAATCATTCGCGCCACGAACAAAAGTTTCCAGGTCAAGTCATCATACGGTATTCCAGCAAAAGAACGGATTATCGTGTTTGTTCCTGTTCCTGTCGAACAAGCATCGTTTATCCTCGACTTGTGTTAACATGGCTGCTTAATTTGGGATTTATCCAAGAGTCGCATATGAGAAACGGTGCAAGGCGCCCATTTGTTCGGGGCCTCAAGAGCGCAAAGTTTCAGTATTTGTACTGTCGACCTTTCACCTGGACGTGATAGGGAAGGACCACCCGGAGCTTCGCGCATGGGTACGTTGGGGCTTAGCCCAAGCGGGTCCGACTCAAGACGGACGGAGGTAAGTAGGCGGTAGACACATCGGGTCGGAGTTTGTCAGTGCACGAAGATAGACAGTACGGTATATCAATCGGATAGTGACACAGTGTTTGCACGACCCGACTTGTGACTTGGCCGTGACGGGGGCGGACCACCAGGAGCTTCGCTCATGGGTACGTTGGGGCTTAGTCCAAGCGGGTCCAACGCCAAACGGCCGGAGGCAAGTAGGCGGTAGACGAATGTGGTCGGAGGTGCGAGCAAGCGTCATGCACGCATATAGAACACAAAACACAAAGGAGGAAGCAGAGGCGCGTCGTCTGCAAAGTTACCATACTTCCTAAAATTCGGATTTTGTCAGAGAGCCTTGTCCGACCTGTTGAAGGCACCTGTCAGGGAGCTTTCGTTCGGACACGTTAGTGTAGAGGGTTTTAACGTAAACCTGTCAGAGAGCCTTGGTCTCACGCCATGGGACCCGACCCGCGTGCGTGCGTGGAGCTGGCCTGGTTCAACCGAAAGTGGACCAGGTGAATGCACCTGTCAGGGAGCTTTCGATCAGTGAACTTCATGACAACAAGCAGCCCGCAACTTGTGGGCGCTAGTGTTTCGTTCTGGCCGCAGAGGACACCCAGGGGCGTCATATCCCAGAAAAGCACCAACCACATCTCTACTAGGTCGGACCAAGTGGCCAGTCCACTGCTGTTCTGCGTCCTCTGTTCAACTGTCTGGAGACAAGAGGCCCCATGCCATACACCTTCCATCGCAGATTCTTGCCCTTTCCTGCAACACCGCGTCTCCAGTCTGTCGATACCATCCTCGCAACACGCGCGTTTTGTGACACATCCGGTCCCCTGTGCACCGCAATCGTTTCGAAACCACTCTAGGTTCCGCACATGTCGCAGCAGCTCGACAAAGAAAAAACAAGTTCAAACAGAGGTGAGCTTGCTCGCTTCCGACGGGTCATGAGTGAGGAGGGCATTGTCGACATGCGTTTCGTATTTTGTGCGGTGAGCTTGCTCGCCTTGAAAGAGTCAACGCCCGTGTACCAGCGCATGACTGAGGTCGCAAAAGAGTCCTGTTCAAAGAAAGGTGAGCTAGGTCGCTTCAGAAGGGTCATGAGTGACGCGGTCCTTGTTTACCTGCGTGGCGTATTTCGACGGTGAGCTGGATCGCCTGTAATATACTAGACGTAGAGGGTGAGCTGATTGTCCTAAGCTTGACGTGTTTGTGTTCCGGTGACAAGACTCTAAGCTGCAACGATCCAACTCCTGGCCAAGGGACTGGATGGAACAGTGGACAGTGGGTCGCACACCTTCGAAGCTGATCCGGCTCAAAAAGCCATGGCCATGCGTCCCAAAGTGAACGCAAGAAACCTGGCTTACGTGGTTCTGTTCTGGCTGAGTACTGTCGCAAGCCTGGTGCTGGCCAGCGATGAACCGCAGCTCACTGTTATCATCAGCTTCCATGTCACCATGTGCATCTTGAATCTCCTGGTGCGCAGAGCCTCGCAGCGAACCATCCCCCGCCTAGGTACAGTGTACAGAGCTCGCATGGTGGGGTCCCAAACCACCGCAGACGGACGTCGAACTCTCGAAGCCTCCGCCGACACCGGCTAGAGACGTGGAACCGCCGGAAACGCAGTGGCCCCACCCAAAGCCGAGCCACCGCCGGCAAGGGGTTTCGCAGATCCGGTTCACGGTCGGACTCCAAACTCGGAAGAGCGGCAACACCTGTAAGCTGGACATTGGTTCGACCTGTTTGCGAGAAGCAGTACCTGCACACTTCGCACCGTCGTTTCCGGGGGGGGGGGTCCTTGCTCGGACGACAAAGCTTGGCTTGCTGGAGTGTTGGCATCACTCCTGGGCGATGAAGCACGGGTGGCCGAAATGATGGCGCAAGACTGGGTGGAAGCTTGGGAAGGCTGGGACGACATGGCCGCAGAAGGCACAGACGCTGTCGCCCTGCAGTGTGCGGAGCGGTTTCTCCACATAGCTGGCGCCGCCGAGCCCCTGCGGCGGCGGTCCGACGACGACCGACTACAGCAACTTGAGACGCAGGGACTTTTTCTGCAGACCGCCGAGTCACATGGAGCGAACAACTGCTTGATCGATTCCTTGTTGTTAGGTTTAACAGCCGCCAACCTAACACCGAATGCCACAAAGTATTCCATGGCGGAACGCAAGCGCATGTGTGCGAGGTGCCGCAAGCACCTGCGTCGCCAGTATGGCACCCCGGTCGGCACTTATCTCGATGGGCACGCAGATGCCCCCCACATTTTAGATTTTTTTCTCCGCCAGGAGTGGCGGCAGGATGTGTCAGTGCGAGTCCATTTCTACGACTGCCTCGATGCTGGGCAAGTGCTGGAGAACCAAGAAGAGCTAGCTTTCGTAGATTACACAGTAGGCACCAGACTGATTTATGACCGCATTAATGTCCATGTCTACAATCATACAACCCCATCCGGCCGAGGGTATCATTTTGACGTGTTAATTCCACAGGATTTGTCGGCAGCGCCCACCGAGGCGGCAGCAAGCCATGAACGCTCTAGATCGCCAGCAAAGGGAACTTCTTCAGGTAGTGTGGCAGCTGTGGGCCCGCTAGAGCGTAGCTCAAGCGAAAGCCAGAGCGTAGCTCAAGGCGGTCCTTTGGAGACAAGTCAGGAGACGGCTGAACAAAGTTCGTCGTCCAAAGATCCACCATCGAAACCTCAGAACCAACCGAACGACCCCCCGGCGGAAGGCCCGTCGGTGTCCAGTGATCCATTGCCAGTGCCAAAAAGACGACGCGGCCCCGGCCAGACTACGGAGGAAGCCGCGACTGTCAGTCCGCCAAGCCCAACGGGTGTAGGGACACGCGGGCATGTCGACCCTTGGCCAACGCCAGCCACGCCTTCGCGCAGTGGCTCCGAGGTCGGTGCCGCAGACACTGACAGTGTTTTGTCTTGGGATTCTCATCAATCAAGTGAAGGTTCTAGTGCAGCCCCTAGCCTCTCCGAAGAAAACCATCGCCACTGGCGCACCTGGGAAGACACAGAAGCCATGGCCATCCGAGACTTGGGGCAACAGTTTCGGACAAAACCTTTGTTACCCCAGCTGAGATGACGGACTTGGCAAACAGTATGTCGGGAATAGCACTGCCAGCATGTCACTGTTCGTTCGAAAACTGCGGTTGGTGCGGTGAAGCTCAGCCATGTGTGGATGCGCTGCTGCCCCCTAATGCTTGGGTCGTGGATGGTGTCAAGTGGCATTGTAGTAGCGGCCAGTGTTGCGCGGACTCGGACAGCTGTTTGTGGGCACATTTGAAGGCCCATCATGCCACAGCTTTTCAGCATTGTCCGGGGGACATTCCTAGTGCTTACGTTGCAGCTTTGCAACACGTGGAAGAACAAGCTGTTCCGGCCGTCGGTTGGAGCGTAGATCGCCGCACGCTGCGACGCCTGCGTCAAGCTAGACAAGAAGACCACTGCGTAGCTTTGATTTGCAGTTGCTGTGCTGCAGTGTTGCCAAGTGGACCACGTAGTGACATCGGCTATCTATCCATCGACGACATTTTCTCTGGACTCACCACCAAGAGTTTTCAAGAAAATTGGGATTTGAAGCAATACAAAACAACATATGGCTTGCACGCCTCCATCCGTGAGCGGTTAAGTGGCCCGGAGTGGCAACGGCGCTTGCCCGAACATCTGTTCCAAGGAGCAAGCATTTTGTGTTGCCCGGAAGATCATCGGTGTTCCAGTTGTCTCCGTGACCCAAGGCAGACTGCAGGTGAGCCAGAGCGTAGCGCAGGCGAGTGCCCGGGTGTAACCCAGGAGCCCGACCCCTACCAGTTTTGCAGCGCTTGCGAACTCCCCTTGTGCCGGAGTTGCTGGTCCCGAATGCGGCAAAAGATGTATGCCGGCGTGCCGCAAGCTCTAACCAACGACAACTGGTATGGGTATCCAGTGGACTTACTTTACACCCACAAAGTCCGCTGGGTGGAAGCGGCCGCAGCGTGTCCCGTTTGGACTTCCATGATCAGTTTTTACTTGGAAGCCGATCGCGGCCATGTGATGGAGGAAACACTCCATCGAGCCGACCAACGCCTGGCCATCCGAGGCAACGTCAGTGCAGTGAGCCTTCCATGGGAACAAATCTACGGCAAGTTCGCAGACATGACGCCCGAGCATCGGCTCGCGATTTTGCCACACGCATTGCCCGCTCTGAAATCCATGATCCACCTGACAGTAAGAGGAATGTTGCACGGCGAAATTTCGGACTGGGTCGCCGGAGCCAGAGTCAGACCTTGGGTAGTCGTCGCTTTGTTAGATCATCTAGTGGACCTCGCCCATCCCATGTTCGAGGGGTACGACGGCACACCGGCCGAACTCAAGGCATTGTTTCGCGCCAAAGTCAACCAGCAATACGGAGAAGATGAGTTTCCGGCCGTAACCCTAGCGGAAGTTGATAAAGCACCTACCCACCATAACCCATCGCCACCGCAGACTAAACACGCCACCCCAGAACCTGCCGGAGTCGCTGATTTCAACGGTGAAGCCTTTCAAGGCAATGTCCGACCGCAAGTGTTGTCGCCCGACTGGAGTACTGATCAAAGTGCAGACCTTACCGCTCAGGAAGTCACTCGGTTGGCCGTTGGCACGCCGCAGGTCACGGTCCAAACCGGGCACGAATTCTGGGATCAATGGCAGCCGAAATACTTGAGTTGGGCATTTCCTTTTAGTTTGCCGGCTCCAGTTGGGGGGCCAGATTACCCGAACAAAGACCGGTGGAGGCGTAGCACCGACGCCGCAATGCTCGGCCCACTCGCCCACTTACGCTCACTCACCCGGAGAGTGGAAAGTTCCATTCACAATTCTTGGGATTTGGTGTCGGGACTTCGACGCTTAACATTCAAGTGGCATTCGGTGTGGAACACACCCCTGTGGCGAAAACACAAACCCAAAGCGGAATTGTTGGAGACCACTCCGGTGCACGAATGGGTGCAAGCAGCAAAAGCACTGTACCACAAACTGCAGAAGGGAACCTATCTTACAGCAGGTAATCACATCAAGCCCATCAACTACGATGCTCGTAAGCTTTGGTTTGCCTCCAACCTGACCCAACCCGAAATTCAGCTTCTACGTGACATTCGGCAGACGCAACAGCTGTTGCCGGGCACCGTCGAAGTTCGTCGCCGCATCGGCCGGTTTTTGTTTGGGGCCAGGGTTCAACTCGGAGAACCGATTTTCATTACCGTGTCACCCACGACACGCCGCAATGCAGTCTGTTTAAAAATGTCTCGGTATCGAGCCAATGACCCCGGCGCCGGACACTATTGCGCCAAAGATGACCCTAAGGTGTGGGAGGACACCGCCGTCACGATCCCGGTGCCGGACTACGAGACACGACGCTGCAGCGCCGTTCGAGATCCATGGTGCGTAGACATTGCCTTTCAGAGCATGATTCGGTTTGTGTTCGCAGAGCTCTTAGGGGTCCGCATGTGTTTCAAGTGCCCGCAATGCACTTGCCGTGACATGTTAGAACACCCGTCTCATCCTATGGGGGGGGTTCTTGGTCTGGTGCTTGGATTTTGTGGCGCCATCGAGTATCAACAAAATAGTACACCCCACTTTCACGCCAACGTCTACGTGGCGAGCGTCTGGCAACACCCCTTGAAAGTTCTTGCTGCCAAGTTGCAAGCAAAGGCCGTGTCGCTCGGAGAAATATTTGAGTACCAGCAGTGGCTGCATAATGAAAGCCACTTGAACTTGGAGCAGCACGTCGCGCTAGAGCCGGACCTTGACGCAGAGTGGAAGCAGAATTTCGTTGGCAAGCAGCATGACAAGCTTTGCCTTTGGCCTGCTTTTGTTGCCGCGGACACCGAGCCATCACCTTGGACAGCCCCGTCGTCCCACTCCGAAACCCTGTTGAGAGATGCAACGACATATCGAACCAAGTATGCGTCCGCAGTGCAAGAACGCCTCTCGCACCAGCAGCATCACATTCATCTCTGGGATCCGAAACATAAATGTGCCGTGCCATTACCCGGGTGTCGCAAAAAAACGCCCCCAACAAATGCAAGCATGGATTCCCAAAAGCTCTGTGCGACACCGCCCGAGTGATCTGCCGCGGTAACGCTCGGCAGTTCCGACAAAGTACGGCCGGCCGCCGAAACGGATTGGGTTGTGTGTTGAACCCTCGAGATTCGCCATGGTTGTCGGGCACGATGCATGCCTTTTCGCTCATGTTGCTCGGAAATAGCCACGCAGGGGTCAACTTCCGTGTGCCGTTACTGCCAGAGACGCACGACCCGGCGTGCGCTCGGGGCTGCCTCCGACACGGGACTTTGCGGCGACTGCAACGCCTGATGCAGCACGCCGCCAGGAAATCCACCCAGTATTTCACGGGATACCTGCAGAAGCCGCAACCCATCGGCAAAAAAGAGCTACAGCAAGCCGCCAAGCACCTCTCGTTCTTAGACGTCACCCCGACCAAAGGGGCGGAGGCGCAACAGTACCGCAGAGTACTCCAAAGGATCTGTGGCGACTTGGAGTTCAGGTGCTCCGTGCGGCCTCTGACAGAAGAGACAATGTTGGCAGGATTCTGGGATGGGGAAGAAGTTACGTCCGCGGAGTGCATTCGGTCCTTTGCCGTCGTCCCGTTCGTGGGCTCGGCCTGGCTAGCCCAGGTCGATCGCCGCACCGAGGTGCGGGCCCAAGTCAAGCAGCTCCAACACCGGCACGCCGTGCTGAGCACAGCCGAGGTGTACGGCTGGCGCGGCAAAGACCACCGGTTGTACTACTTAAGTCCTTGGGAATTCACAAGTTTGTGGGAGGTACAACGCCTGCAACCGCCACGAGGCGAACCCTCAGACTTGAGCATGTGGGTCCCTGGACAGCCTGTCGACCCACCGCCCATTGATGGCTTTCAGTTCGGTCGGGATTTTGTGTGGAAACACCAGGCCCAGAGACGCAGCGCGACTTGGTGCGCTTGCCGGTTCGGGTGGCCACGACAGCCGCCGCGGATCATTACTTGGTCCGCCGGCCAGCACCCTTGGTTCCATATCCGACCGCAGCACCTCTCCCCAAAGCGGACATGGCCAAGGCAGACCAATGCCGCATTTTGAACGTGTACCTGCGTCCCTGGACAGCAGCCCCGGAAGATGCAACTTGGCATGTGCCGCATTTTGCGGCCTTGGACACACCCATATCGGACATGCAACAACAACCCGGTCGTCGGTGTCGGAACAAGACCCACCTCGGCCAACGGTGTCATGCTGCAGCTTGGGGCGATTATATTCGGAATCACATCGTGTCCACACACGCAAAACGCCTGATCAACAACTTTTTGGCAGCGGCCGATTGCACTCCCGAAGAGCCCGAAGACAACCTGGAGTGCACGGCCGCCCTTCCGGGGCACGACGTGGACATCAGTTGGGTGGATCTGACCACCGTGCAACGCCTGACAGCAGGCCACGGTTTCCAATGTTCGAAACGCTCCGAGCCAACCGTGCAGAACCTTGTGCAACAGTGGACGCCCGCCGCCCGACTGTGCAGGCCTCGATCCCAGCCAGGTTAGGAACAGGTGTGTCGGCATCCCCGATCCCGGCCAAGCTCCGACTGTACCAGTCGCTCCTAATAGGCCCAACCCTAATAGACCACCCCCGAACGTAGAAGTAAGTTATGCACAGTTCAGTGCCCACACAGCTCGTACCTGGCTGCAGACCCTCCAAAGCAGCACGACTCGACCGACACCCAGCCGAGAACAGACCCAGTGTTTGCAAGCCATTCTGGAACGCTGCATTGTGGAGCACCAAGAAGAGCGGCAGAACGCACCACAGCGTTCCGAGCCGTTTCGTGCAATCTTGCATGGCGTGCCCGGAGCCGGCAAATCACAGACCTTGAAAAGGCTTCGTGTCTTTTTCGAAAGCATTTGCCATTGGTCCCATCCGCAAGACTTTGCTTTCGTCGCTCCGCAAAATACTCAGGCCGCTTTGATTGAGGGCATCACCCTCCACTCGTTCGCTGACATGCGGGTCAAGGGCGCCAAACAGAAGCCCGACCCCCACGCGAGCATGCAGCGATTTGTCAAGTTCCAGCGACTTCGGTGGCTGATCATTGACGAGTGCAGCACGGCGGCGTTGGAAGTTTTGGCGGCCCTGGAAAAGCACTTGCAGGACGGAGTGCGGCCCAAGAATTCTTGGAAATGTCGCAAGTCCGGAGTGGCGCGGCCCTTTGCTGGCCTCAACGTTTTGCTTGCTGGAGACTGTTGGCAGTTCCCCGCCGTAAAAGCCACCAGCCTTTTCCAAAATCCTTTCAAAAGCGGCCAAAGCCTGGCCGTGGCCGCCCTGCAAAAGATTTTGTGGACGCACAACCAAAACAACGTGCAGCACCTCTTCGAATTAACCCAAGAACACCGCTGCACGGATCCATGGTTGAGCGTTATCTTGAAAGCGGCGCGGCGCGGAGCCGTAGACCAGGAACTGTGGTCCTTCTTGCACGGCTATCCCACGGTCCACCCCGGATCGTGGCACCCCGCCACCGACACCTGCGGCTGCAAAAATCCGACCTGTGAGGGTTTACCTAAGATTTGGACACAGGAGGTTTTGCACGGAAACGACGCCCGTACTTGGGCAGCTCGCCTCGGCGACGAGTGCAATGTCTGCTCAGCCGAGCGGCGGCGGCGTTGCATCGTCGCCGAGGCAAGCGACTTCGGACCGAACCCAAAAGACCCCAAATTTTTGCATGCCCCGTTTATCCATAGTTTCAACGCGGCCAAATACGTTGCAGCCTTGCTTCGGGCTCGGTGGGTGGCAGCCGAACAGAACCAGCTTCTGCTCTGGGCGGTGGCACAGGACACCCCCTGTTCCACACCGCTCCAGAAACCGACGCGCGCGAACTTCGGCGTCGAAAAGAAAACTGGCTGCAGAGGCACGATCAATCGTCAATTGACAGGAGGCATAATGGGACTCTTGCCCTTGTTGCCGAACATGCCGGTGCGGATCACCCAAACGTTGCCGGAACTCAAGCCTTTTGGTCTTTTCAAAAATACACGCGGGCAGCTTTACAACTGGACATTGCACCCCGAGGACGCGGCAGCAATCCAGACTTGCACCGACTCCGACTGGGTTCTGCGCCACCTGCCCACGTGCATTTTCGTGGCCATCCCAGGCGCCACATGGCAGCACCGCCCAGGCCTGCCAGCGGGCGTAGCCTGCATCCGACCGGGAGTCCAGCACTGGCAGCTCGAAGCACACGGACAAGCCACGGTTGCACGCAAGGGATTCCCCATTGCGTGCGACTACGCGGGGACCGCCCATTCGTTTATGGGGGCTACGTTGGCTGCTTGTAGTCTAGACCTGGGGTTCTGGGATTCCTCTGCCTCTCGAAACTCGCAGCTCAGTGCGTACATGTGCTTAAGCCGAGTCAAAAGAGCCGACGACGTCTGCATCACCCGCACCTTTTCCCCTAACCTACTAAGTCAAGGTGAATTAATAGGTCCCGAAACATTTTTGCAGGTGCATCGGCAAAAATTGACCCTGAACGAAGCCAAGAGTACGTTTGAAAAGGATCAGGCGCAGCGCAAACGCAACACCGAAACCCTTTTGTTTTGTCGTGGTTGCAGTCCCAAAGCCCAAGGCAACCAAGGGTTGCTGCCGATCCGGGAGTTCGCCCGCAACAACACTTGGGATCCAGAGGGTTGGTACGCCATAGTGCAACTCGGCATGGAACGTTTGTGCAATCAATGCCGTGAGAGTCTAAAACCGCACCCCCAGACCGCGCAAGAAGGGGATCAACCAGTTGGAGCCGAGGAACCGGGTGTTCCGTGTGCCTTTTGCACCGTGACCAAACTGCCTAAACTCGGTTTTTGTCAAAAGCGCTTGGCCACAGAGCGCTTGGCTTGCGCCAAATGCGATGTCGGAATGAAGTTGAAACTCAAAACCCTAGCTGCCTTCAGCCCCGAAGAGATCCAACGAAGAAAGCGCACCAAAGAGCTTCGGAGAGCGCGCTGCGTAGAATGCGCATTGCTCCGACCCAATGTGGCGAAAGGCAATGTGGGGCACTGCGACCTGTGTCAAAAATCGATCAGTGTGTCGCATTTCCACAAATACGAGGCCGCCTCAAAAACCGGTATTTGCCGCAGGTGCGCACAGAAAGCCGCAGAACTCAAGGAAGCCGCAGCAAAAGTGTGTCCACAGTGCAGCCAGCCTTTGCACGCCGCGGCCACGCCGGGGACGTGGTGTCAGAAATGTGCGTATCCACCGTGTGTCGGTTGCAAGCAAGTGGAGCGTTCCAAAAAAGGTGCCAACCACGCCAAGCATCGCCCCTTTTGGCGTTGCGAAAAGTGTGCCGCGCAAGTGTGTACCAAGTGCGCAAAGCAATCCGTGGGTAGGCCGGGCCAGACGCAGTGTGTCCGCAGTGCCAGCCGAACAAGTTTTGCCCCCAGTGCACGGCGCCCATGCCTGCAGCGGCGCACCTCGGTTCGTGGTGCCACGCTTGTACCTACCCTCCATGCGCCGGCGGCTGCGGCGCACCGCGCCCACCTAAAAGCGCCAA